GGGCGTGTTGAGTATATGCAAAGCGTTGACTAAATATTCGCATACAAAGGGGGCATTTGAAACTCATGTTGCTAAATTAACGCGTCAAATTTGATGAAAAGTATCAATTCACTATTCAATTTATATGAGATTTTGTGTGCTAATAAAATTATATTTCATTGTAAAAATTTATGAATTAATTGAATGGATTACAATTGATTGAGTTATTTGAATAGATACGACTACGCAAATTTATGCATTAATGAATGGAACTGGCTGTAAGAATCTGGTGGCTAATATCGCGGAATCATTCGCAAATTTACGCATTATAGCAAAATTTAAAATATGCGAAACACTCAGCAATTTTGCTGCCAGGAACTTACTGAGTTCGTGGGCTGGCAAATCTAAAAATAAATGTAACAAGTCTATGATGTAACATATAAATATTGTTTATTATTTTGTTTACTATTTCAACTTGCCGGCAACCTGTCAACCCGTGAACCTGACAGCAAAAGTGCTGAATATTTCGCATATATTGAATTTGCTGTAACGGGCTGTAAGAATCTGGATGGCTAATACGGCTTATTCAATTGGCTAATCATCTGATAATCAACCGCAAATTTATTGGCTTAACACATTTTACAATAATGGACGGATGATCAGCCACAAATTTATGCGATAATCAGTTATAAGCGTTCAAGATCACTATCAATCTGATTAGCCAAATGAGTTCACTGGCTGCAACTTTTTTTTGCCATGCATACAAAGCCCCAACATGTGTAACATCTTATTTTTTTATAAATGGATGTTGATTAATACTTCGATTGTACTATATGCTTTTACGAGAGTTTTTTTAAAAATTCTCTCATGAAAGTGTTACAATTTTTTTTTTGTAATATCACGATGCAAAATTTTTGCATTAGTTCATTCATTTTTCGTAATATTTCGCATTAGTTTATCCATTTTTCGCAATATTTCACAAGTTTTTTTTCTTTTTTAGTATAGAATGGTGGAAATGACGTTATGACAGCTTGCCTCCTTTTTCTGAACATCTGGTTCATGTATTTCCACTTTTTCGTATTTTTAGTTCCTCATTTTCAAATTTCTGGTTCATGTCTTTCCCCTTTTTCTCATATTTTTCTCCTTTCGTATTTCTAGTTCCTCTTCAAATTTCTAGTAATATCTTTTTCTCTTTTTCGAGTTTAGTTCATATCTCCTCCCTCACATATTATCCCGATGGCTACAAAACGTGGTGAAAAATGAAATATTGATGATAATGAAAGAATTTCAAGACGTAATACTGAGAAAAGTAGTGAAGCCGAGAAACGAATAAGATTATCAGACGATAACGTTGAAGGTATATATGACATGATATGTATCATATTTTTTATAAGAAATTATATAATATATAGTAAATTATATTTTATTGTTAAAGTTAATAAAAAATCAATAGAGAAACTATTAAGAACCAATTCGCAGATAATTTCTAAGCTTGAAGTTCTTATCACCGGACAAAAAAATCTCGAAACCCGTCTCTCGGGCATAGAAAAAAAGCTCAATGATGATAACAAAAATAATAATACAATAGATCTGGAGTATATAAAGGTAATAAAGATGAATATTATTTAATGTAAATCTGAAATGCTAACCTCGTTTGATTAGGAGTTCGTTAAGAAGGTGTCAAAAATTTTATTTGAAAATTTTATTTATCCTTCGCAAGACGAGTACAGACTCGCTACTGAAAAATATTTAAAAGATAAAAACCCGGAATTTATACGCCAGTTCAAAAAAAATCAATGGATTATTTTTTTCGAAAAAAAAATTGCCCCGACTGTAAGTTAAAGCAATTATGAATTTTATTAAATTTCATACTAATATTTTTTTTTAATAGTTAGTACAACAACATAGAAGCATACGAGAGACGTTCACGTCTAGAGTCAAAGATGTTATGTATTCTGTTTTTGAAGCGACTGGGCATAAATTATCGTCTATTAACACTCAGGTTAGTCCGTCAAAGATTCAGGAATGGAAGAGTAAGCCGGAGGTGAAAAGATGTTACAACAACCTATTTAAAAAGGTTAAAGATGGGCAACCTACGACATATATGTCGCTGATAATTGATAAGTTGCGAAAAGAAAATAAAAATCCCTCAAAAACCCAAATAGCTTATGCGATTAGCATATGTGAAACGTACTTAAATCCTAATAATCAAAACATTCAAATGAGCGAAAGTATAATGAAGTCGAAGATAATTAACAACTTAGTAAGTTTTTAATTTACAATTTGCAAAATGTGAATTATTTGAATTACAGTTTATTTATTTATTTATTTATTTTTAGCAAAAGTTGGAAAATAGGGATAAATTTACACATTCGGACGACGATTCTCATGATGGTAATGATGTAGATAATGGTGGTGATGGAGCAGCTGACGATGGAGCAGGTGCGGCTGACGATGGTGCGACTAACGATGGTAGGCCTAACGATAGTGCGGCTAACGATAGTGCGGCCAACAATGGTACGGCTAACGATAGCATAGCTGACGATGATATACTTTCTAGTGACTCTTATAACACGGAGGAGGAAGGTCGGTATATAAATAGTTTATTAGAGAATTATGGGTTGTATAGGAAATAAATATTATTTTTTATATATATCACACGTAATAGCATTTTTTTTACCATAATAATATAGTTTTAATAAATAAAATGGTTATTAATTCTTAACAATACAGGTGTGACATAAATAAATCGTAGCTGAAATTTGTGTTCAATTTGTGTTCAATTTGTGTTGATAATTCTGGTAAAAAATTTGTTAATTTTGGCCAAATTTCGTTAAATTTGTTGAATTTGTGTTGAATTTGTGTTGATAATTTTTAATTTATCACGAGGGGATGATATTTAGTAATTGTGCATATACAATTTCTGTAACGATGTACATGATTTTTTAAAATGCAGATTTCCGTAATTTTACGATATCGTATTTTCTGGCCAATCAAAATTAGGTTGATTCTTGCATGTGATTTAATCATTTAATCATGCACGCGTTTTTTGTCTTATTTATTTTTGTCTCTTATTTCTTTATTCTTTTGTTCAATATTTTTAATTTTTTTGTCTCTTCTTTCTATTATTTCTTTAATTATATACAATATATTTACATATATTTCATAATTTATTGCTTTGCAGGTATAGAAATATTTGTTTATTAATATTAATTATTTTCGTTTTTTTTTACCTCTTTGTTACTTTGTATCGTAATACTAACAATAATATCCATGTTTCCTTTATTCCTTTTTACTTGTACTTTAATACTAACGATACTAACAATACTAACAACATGTTTATTTTTTCCTTTCTCTTTATTTCTTTATTTTTTTTGCAGGTATAGAAATATTTATTTATTAATACTAATTATTTTAATATTAACGCGTTTTTTTTTACCTCTTTGTTACTTTGTATCGTAATACTAACAATAATATCCATGTTTCCTTTATTCCTTTGTACTTGTACTTTAATACTAACGATACTAACAATACTAACAACATGTTTTTTTTTCCTTTCTCTTTATTTCTTTATTCTTTTGTTCAATTACTTTGCAGGTATAGAAATATTTATTTATTAATACTAATTATTTTAATATTAACGCGTTTTTTTTTACCTCTTTGTTACTTTATGTCGTAATACTAACAATACTATCTACGTTTTCTTTATTCCTTTTTACTTGTACTTTAATACTAACGATAATATCCATGTTTCTTTTACTCCTTTTACTGTTTCTTTAACTCTTTTTACCTTAATACTAACAATACTAACAATATTTCTTTTATCTTTATATCTAATACCAACGTTACTATAGCTGTTTCTCTTCTTTTTACATCTAATTGTATCGTTACTCTTTCTTTTTTTACTTTTATATATTCTGTATATAGTAATAAATACTTGTAATTTTTATAATTTAATTCATATTATATCTAATAAAATATACATTATATAAACTTATAGTACAAAAATGAATTTTGAAACATTACAAAATATTTATGTAAAATTACGAATCGTCAAAATATTTTAAAAAGTTGCGAAATATTACGCAATAAAATTACACAATATTACGAACCGTAAAATTACGAAACTTTGCATATCGTAATATTTTGAAATATTTTAAAAAGTTACAAAATATTACGCTTACACAAACTTGCGGCGGGTCTGGAAACTTACGAAATATTACGATGCGTAATCTTGCGCAACTTTTCACACTATAAAATTTCCTGATGTAAGTCTATAAATATTCTTGTATTTGCTGATAATAACTATAAATTAGTTTTTAATACTTAACTTTTTATAATGTAATTAAGAAATTTTTTCTATTTTATCAGCTATATTGATTAATGTAATATTATTAAATTACTTTTAATTTTTTTAATAATTAAAAATTCAGCCCATTTTGGTTAATTTGAAAGTATTAATTTTTGGGTTTTTGTATAAAATTTAATAACAATTAATAAAATTATAATTAAATTTAATGCAAATTTTTTTAAAATTTGTAAACATACCATTAAATCCCTGTGATTTTTTATTCTAAATAGGACTGTGATCACATAAGTGTGATTTGGATTTAAATATCACCTGCCTGATGAAAATCAAAAGTGGAAAAGAAAAGGTCAAAATAAATTTGTGGCTCAAATTAACTAATAATAGTGTTTTTTTGAATAGGGGATCGGCAAAATGATCGGCAATAATGGGAATGTCCGTGTAGAGTAAGTATATCACTGTGCTTTAACATATTTTAATTGTCGATAAATGTCGACTGATTAATAGCGAACTCATTGTCGATAGTTGAAAAGTTCATTGTGATATTAATACTAGTATTTGCCAAAAAGAAAAAATAATGTTTACATGTTATTTATTATAGGAATTTATGATAATGTCTTTTGTTACAATTAATAACCCCATCTATCAATGATTCTATAGATCGAATAATTTATAAATAATTATAAATAATGTCTCTGAATGAAAAAAAATACTTCGACGACAGTAGGATTTGAACCTACGCTCCCAAAGGGAATTAGATTTCAAGTCTAACGCCTTAACCGCTCGGCCATGCCGTCTGAACACGTTAATATAACCTCGGATGTTTATAGAAGATAATTGTTAAATTTATATATTATCAATCCGATTTAAAGAGAAAAAAATATGATAAAATAAAGTCATATTTGAGTTTTCATTCTCAAATTATTAAAAATTTTTCTATATTATTTCTTTTTAGCTAACACAATATTTTAGAACTTGGAGTTTTAAGCGTATTATTAATGTTAGCTATTGTTTAGCTAAATTAGCTGAATTGAGGTTGATGATCTTTAATTATCACCTGCTACTAATTTGGCATACATGAAAGTTTCCCCTTTTTAAGGTCAAATTCCCAAACAACAAAACTCCCGAGTCCTGAATCATTTAGTGCTCGTTCAATCTTAATTTTAACGTTTACTAGATTATATGTATATTTAATTTTATTTCCCACGAGTTTCTCGCAAGATGATTTTGACTACCACCTTTTATGGAGATACGTCATCAGCAGCTTGAATTTCATCTCACCAATGAACAATCTGCGTATTAAGAATACTGCATACTGTGTGGTATGAAATACTGTATATAAAAAATTCCTTTTGGGTACATAGGTTGCGGAGTTTCGAAGGTTTTAACCATAATTATAATTTCGCACAAATTTATCTTTAGACAATGATGTTCTTGGAGCTTTTAATGGCTTTTTTACTTTGGACCTTCCGATAATTCCTTCCAATACACTGATATTTTTCAACATGTATAATTAACACGTACATTTATAACGTGTATCTACAGTATGTGAGTCAGAAACTTCCAATAATTTATTGGAGTTGAAATTGGCATTGAAATTGAGCGAATTTAAAGTTCAACATGCTTCTTAAATATAATGTTGAAATGCAGATCGTTGCATTTGTTAATTCCGAAAGGAAAAATTTATCTCGTTGGTGGACAATACATTATAGTATGTGATTAATATAATGTCTTCTAAGTACGTCAATCCGAATCGGACCGATAAGTTACAATCCGGTTTTGGTTTTATTATAGTCCAGTTAATCTCAAGTTGGAACATACTGGGATAGTTAACAAAACTAATTCCCCTTACTGAATAATATGTTTATCATTCAGACGATTAGAAATATGCGGCATTATCCCTAATAACTGAACAATAACTATTAAATAATGATTAATTTTCTATTGATTTAATACTGAAATTTTGAAAGGACCCAGACTTATGTACAAATTCTTGCTCTAAAGTTATACAAGTTCCATTAAAATATTGTGAATATTTTAAAAATAATACTTAAACTCAAGGAATATATAAAATAGTAGCAGCACGAACAAGTTGAACAGGAGTAACTCTATCACATTATAATAACAATATCCGAATATCTTAAATTTTAAAACTGTCTTTTTTATCAAAATTATACCGCCGAGATACATATAGTAGGAAATGAATAATATATCGAATATTTGATTACAATTGATGGCATTTAATATCTTGCCCTTTAAACTAATTTCTATTCTACAGTATATTATAATATTGAGAATACTCACGTAATAATAATCAAGTTATTAAAGGGCATCGAATTGAAGTCTTATCATCATTTGCAGTATAACAAATTTCTGTGCTTTAATTGCTTTAATCGAAAGAATTTTGATCTTCGTCAAAGATTAATGCCTACACTTAGTTATCATATTAATAGTTTACTATTAGGATCATGATGTTGTTCATATTCGGCATTTCTATGTCGACCATTTTGATGTCATTACGCCACGTAGTTGCACATAAAAACAAATTTATTGGATGATATAGAAGCTCTAATTTCATCTTCAATTTTGATGTAAATGTGAGGTATAGCTAATAATTCCTATAATTAATAATACAAATTGCATATAAATTGCATAAATTGCATTCGGCAATAAACGAATGTAACATGAACAATCTTGTGCATTTAAAGGGCAAGAGTTTTGTGAAATTCAACAAGAATTGTCATCTCTATATATAGGAGACGAAATACAAGGTAATGCGAATTATGATAAATCAGGATTCGCTCGCATTATCACAAAACAGATCTAGGAAAATAGTTCGCTGGTGTTAAGGCTATCATCAGTTCACCCCTGAAATAAGGATAGCAAAATTGCACGATTATTTAGGTAACGTTAACAGATTTGGCTAAGAAATCAACTGATTTTCATAATTTGTATACAAACATAATGACAAATTTTATAATCATTCTAAGTTAATCATTCTAAGTTAATGATGGCAAATGTTTTTTATTATGATATCATACTATAAATGAAAACGATAATGTAGCATATAGTGAATTTCAATTATCGGTAGAAATTCAACATGGACCCTTGTTTACAAAGAATAATCTTTTATTATGAAATTAGGATAAAATTTACAAGCATGATGGCAACTCCTTTCTATGCGTTTAATAAAAAGAGTAAACAAACCATTCAATTATCTAATTTCGTTGGATGTAAATTGAATTTTCCGCGTAAACTTATTCGTAAAAAAAAAAAAATAAAAAATTAATTAGTAAAATTAAATAATTAAATTTGTGAAAAAAACGATTAATAGATTACCTCTTTCTATAATAAAATTGTTCAAATCCAATATATGGGAATACACTTTCTTCATTCAATTTCTTTAAAATAACATTTCCACTATCTGCATATTCTTTAATTATTCTATTGTGATATTCTTGATTAAAAGGGTTCCATTCGATAGAAATAGCTTTACCAAGATTTTTCACTATATTACTGAAAAATTCACAAAGCAGTTTCTCATCACAATATTTCGGAATTGTATCATAATAAAGGAATTCTAATTTATGTGGCAAATCAGAACCAAATTCTAACAAGTAATTTTGATATCTGAAAATTGAAGGTCCTGTAATACCCAAATAAATCAATTCTTGACATTTGTGTAAAACTTTTGTAAATAAATCAAAAGCTTCTTGGTTATAATATAACAAAATTGGGACCTTAAGTATGAGAAGATTCGGACAACATACAGCTAGATTACGCAGTATACGATTAGTACCGCTAACACATTCATTGCTTTGAACGCGCCATTCTATATCAACCATTTTAAGATTCGTATTTGAGTTTTTGATAATCTCTACCAATTTATTGACGTATTGATCTACATAGAAAATTCGCAAAGTAATTCGTTCGATCTTCACTGATGATGTATCAATAAAGTTAAGAACTCTGCAAGTACTTGAATCATTGTTTTCATCGTATAATTCCAAATATTTTATATTATGACAACTAGTAAAGATTCCCATCTCCAATTGAATCGTTCCGACCAATGTTAAACGCTCAATATTTTTAATAGCTTCTGATACGATAGATAGTTCAGGAGTTTTGCAATAACCCATATTGCCTATTAGAGTTAAATGTCGCAATTTTTTCTGGGATAAAATTAAAGGGAAAATGCCAGAAAGTCCTCCCGTATTAACACATCCATGGAAACTCAGATGTTCAATATTGTGACATAGTTCGGACAAACATTTGACAAGTTCACGTGGTATGCATCCATCACAGCTAAAATACATCAATTCTGGAAAACAGTTTGTAGCACCTGGAAGAGAGATCAAATATTGTAATTCAGAATCCATAGAAAGAAGATCAAAACACTGGAATCCTGAATATTCCAATTCGTCTAAATAAAATTTTTTAATTGCTCGTGATGTTCCTACAAACATTTTGAAAATTTCTCGGTATAGTAAAAATTGTTGATATTTTACAGTGTCACTCATTATTTGAGCAAAACTTTGTCCTTCTTGTCGACAAAGCCATTGTCTCCATTCACGACATGCAGAATATAAAAATCCACCATCCAGATTTTGTAAAAATGATGCGTAATTGTAAGCAGGTCTTGATAAATATTCACTAGGAAGTGAAATTCCAGATTCTAATAATTTATTCTTTACATCATCCTTAAAACAGCTAACATAAACCCGCATTAAAGAAAAGATTTTTTCCTGTTTTGTCTCTGATCTAAAATCTCCTTCAAATATGAATTCAAATGGTTCTGACCAAAGAACGTGAATGGCAGCATACCACCAAGATTTGTTTACGAGAATACAGCTGGATAAATCTTCATAAAAAAGAAACTTGAAAATCTTTATAAGCGTTTCGGTTGAAAGAAATCGAATTGGAGGAATCTTCTCATATTTAACTCCACTAGTATCATATTGCATGATTTGAGTAGAAGTGCCTGTTACGACTGATGTTGATACATCCACTTGGCTTACTAACATTTCTACCGTCGGAGATTGTCGTTCCGAATCTTGAATATTACTTTTAAGTTGTAAATAATTGGCATTCTGATGTAGGCTTGTTTGTCCATTTATAACTGTGTCGTTTGATACAGGTTGGTTTAATAATCGTGACTCGACATTCTCCATTAAAATATCGACCTGCTCAATCATTTTGTTATTATTCATATCAGGCCCATCTAAAATGGACGATTCTGCCATCGACCTTTTAGATTCGGCTAAGGTTAAGGTATATATTTTTGGCAATAATGATGAATTAAGCTTTTCAAAAGTTGTTGAATCTGTTGTAGAGTTTTTTAAAGTTGATTTTAAACATTTTTTATCTTCACCAACCACCTTAATTTCTATTCCAAAAGAAATAAAATTTTATTAACAATTTTTTTTTAAAAAAAAAAATAAAATAAAATAAAAGTAAAGAAGATAAATACCGTATGGCAAAACATTATCCGATGATTCCATTTTTATATCTTACCGATATGCTAACGTCGATCAAAATATTTTGGTGTAATAATTAAAAAAAGATTTCGTGCTACAACAAAGTTAAATCTAAAATTTAAAAAAAAAAAACAAAAAAAAAACAAAAAAATTGACGATACGCTTCGGAGAAAAAAAAAAAGGAATATTATTTTGGGGTTTTCGGATAATCCTTTGATTAACTCAAAAAAAAAAAAAAAAAAAATTATATAAACGTGATAACTATAGTTATATTTGGTTTAGATAATTTCTCAAATTTTTCGGCACTTTAAATAAAGGT